CTCAATCTCAGCCAAGTGGAACAACGCATTCGTCTGCTGAGAGGCCTCCATGCGTTACTGGCCATCATTAATGTTGCCGAAGGGGTCGACTTCATCAGCATATGCATCTGGCATGTACAACTTGTTGTCTCGTAGCTAATTGTGCAGTACACAAGCTGCGAGGACGACTCCAGTAGCGCAGTCTGGGAGGAGGCCGATTGGCCTGCGGAAGGTGCGGAATCCCGTAACCAAAATTACGAATGCGTTCTCGACGCACCTCCTGGAAATGGAACAAGGACAACACTGTATCTTTGTTATCCTAATGCAAGTGCGACAATTCTAAAGGTTACCTCGCTCTACACAGTCGATAGCTGAAATCCCAAGATTATCATTGAGGTATCTGTCAGGATGGGTCCTCAGTTGAAATGCCTCGTCTCCAATAAAGCCGCACGGGGCGATAATATGGGAAGATGGCAACTGATTTGATGGTGGCAAATTCAAGGCACCTTGACTGAAGCACTGTCTTATTATTGATGCCTTGAGGACGCCACCATCACTTTGGTGGCAATATGCAACAACGTCTATGGCCATAAACCTCAACTTGCTGTCCACGACAGCCACCAGCACATAGAGTAACGGATTACTTTTTGGGGGTAACGGTCAGTTACTTTTATGGGAGGGTAATTGTAATTGTAATAAATTACAATTTAGCCTTGAGTAATTGTAAGTGTAATTCCTTACTATTTTTCAGTAACGTGTACAAGTCTGCCCAAGACCACCACCGTGAAACTTGATGTTCCAAATGTTCTACATCTTTAAAGGCGGTATTTACTGGACGCCATATTGGCGGGCAGTGTTCGCAAAGCGTGCTTAAAAAGGACTGCTACGTTTTGCTTTCAAAGATGATCACTCTTGACGGTGTGAAATACACGTTGTAGACGCGTTGTGTAAACTCACTGACAGCACGTGCTCAACAGCAGCCGGCGCAAGTTATGGCCGCCAGTGAATACAACCTGTATACGAAGTGTTTGATCATTACGAGACGCCAGCGACTCTTTCACGGCATATGAACGCCATTAAGGATACGCTAGGTGTTGGATGAGCCGTGTTTTTATTGGTTGTCTTTTCGTACCGTAGTAGCGTCGCTGGTGACGCCGCGAAAGATGTTTGACAGTCGACGCAGCTCCGTATATTTCGTAATTGCACTGAACCTGCCTGTTTGCTGCAACAGCGTCGTCGTACCTGCGAAACTGCAACTAAATTCGCACCATGTGAAACCGTCCTCTTTTCAGCAAGTTGCCAAGAACGATATAATATTTTTTTTTGCCTTGATGTATTTTGGGCGAAGCACGTTTCATACATACTGGCATGTCTCATGCACGATAAATGCCACTGTTGACACGCCAACCTTGATCTGCAGTAAATTGTCCTGCATTGACGTTCCTGATGACAGGTACCTGAATGAAAACAAAACATTGCTGTGTATATTAATGTCTGGAAGCCGAGAAACTAGTAATGAGTTCTTCCTATAAATCAGTTTTAATTGCACCTCGTATTCACTCTAAACGTTGCGGTTTAAGAAGAAGGCCATTCGACTTGAAAGTGATAGCAAGCCGCGCCTGCAACGAGATGGGCTCTCGCACGACATGCTGCTTCGTGAGCTTTGTTTCCAGGAGAGCGTGGAGTCTTTCAGAAGTGTTGGGCATCATCCGGTAATATCTTAGAAACTACTCCGGGTCCTTATGAAGCTTAAAGAGGGTCAGCAGGAAAAAAGTATTCCAGAAACCTGCTCGCAGAAAAACACAAGTCGACTTACCGATGAGTAAAACTCCAATTCTGTGACTCTGTTTTGCCAGCACGGCTGTTTTTCCAGCACCATCGCTGCGGATTTCCATCTATGAGCAGCAGTTTTTTCTTCTGCAGAACTAGGTATTTTTTTTTTTTTTTTTTACAGAGCAGCCTGAACTCGTCATCATCTATAGAGTATCGGCCATCATGCTCTATGAAAGACAAGGCACGCTGCTGCTTGCACTCTTTCAATATGAAACATCGTCCACGTGACGAAGCCACCGGGACAATAGACCGATCTCACAAGGAGTTGCACGACGCCACCGCTGCCGCGGTGCATTCTGGTACCTGTAGTTCTCCCCAGTTTTCTGGCCGCGTCAAGGCGCGTTGTACGTCCGGCGTTTGGGAATTTTCAGGTTAGCACGAAACTTTTAGTCGGCCGTTTACTCACGGTTTTTAATGGGTGTCTTCACCCGTTCTGTGTCAAGGTGCTACAATAACAGCACCAGGCAAAAAGGCATCGGATCTTATGTCTTCCCGGAAGAAAGCAGCCCACGAAAAGAGTGTCAAAAACAGGTAAAGAGAACTATAGAAGAGCGGCAGGAAAAAGCGTTTTTAGATTTGTTTCGTAATTTGATTCATAATTTATATGCACCCCATTGCACGATAACTAAAAAGTGTAAGCTTACACAGGGCATGAGACGTAGTAGGGCGTACCAAAGTGTTCCGTACGTTGGAATCTTTCAGAGCACTCGCTCCGTAGCGGTATATCCGTTGGTCTATCGCAATCGGAACTTCCACACTGCCTTGCGGCGACTGTTTTTAATACAATGTTTGGTTGATGCATTTTGGTGGTTACAACTGTTATTGATACAACATGTTTTTAGCACAACTGTGCTTCAAAAGATCAGTACAATCACCGAAGAAAGAGCAGCGATTCTCGGTATGTATAACTTGAAATAAAACAACTTCTTCAAAATCAGACTTAATTTTTTTTTTGCGCTATTATGCCACAACCTGATTTTGCTGGCGTTACTGATCCATTCTGTATTCACACCAATCGACACAGCGGAAAAAAGCATTCTCCGTCGGTCAGCTCTTACCGTTCGGAGCTTGAGCAAACCAAATAAAATTGAATAGAAACTGTACACAAGAGCTCATCTCTACTCGAAGTTCTCAGGCATCTCTCATGGTTACGTTTCATTTTGACAAATGCGAGTTACGGCTCGTCAGGCAGGTTCTTTTTGTAGATCGTTTCTTTGTGTGCAGGCTTCCCCCCGCAGTTCATCTGTACCCTGTCGCAAAGGCTCTCAACCAAAATAGAACGAGTTTTAGAAAACTATCGCTCTCCGAGAATGTCTATTGAGCTCGTCTTACTTCATTGTCGAATAAAAGTTATGCCCAAGCCTGCGCACTCATAGCTCAGTATTTCACCGACACATTTGACGCTGTTCCGCGGTGCTAAACCGAGCCGATGGTCCCTCGAATTTTGTGCTCTTTCACGTTGAGGTAGATTCACTTGCTTCCAAGTTTATTGAGGCGTAGGAGCACCCAGAGTGCTCGAGGGAGTAGTGACCTCGTTGTTTTTGCCGCTGTTGTGGTAAGACCACCGCGTGAACGCAGTGGGTTCACGCGCGTTCACGAAGGCGAAGAAGCGGACGACAACGAAGCAGACGGCAAAGCGATTCTAAAGCGATAAGACAACTGAAACTGTTTTTTTGCGCCTGATGACAAACTAAGGCATCACAAACAACACAATCTTATAAAGTACTGATATGCAGGAGAATCCAAGCTAACACCAGGGCTTCCCAAACTATGATGTACGCCCACATGAGCCCTTTTCAGCCGGGAAGTCGGAGAGCGATGACTACAAGTAGCATGGCGGCAGCAATACTTCCGGAATGCGCGCGCCTGCGCAGTTCGCTTGGTGGCATCGGTCTATTGTTCGCCTTGCGCGACATGCCAAGCAACGCAACAACTAGCTTGCTCAAGCAGTTATGTGCTGTATTTGTCCCGGTGTCCTTGTCGTGTTCGTTGTAATCGCTGTTTTCGTCGCAGATGCAAATGTCTGCATTCAGCTCTGAACATAAATATAGCACGTACTTTTTGCCAGAACCTAATAAATTAATCAATTTTTCTTTTAAAACTTTGTTTGATATTGAAGATAGTTACTTCAAACAAATTAAATGCTTCCAACCATGTGCTTCGCAAAAGCGGAAAAGCGCATGTGTTCTCAATCAATGTGAAAGGGAACGCGAAATTTCGCATGTGCGGTTCATTGCTCCACCGATTTCGCAGAAGAAAATCGCACCATGTGTATCAGGCTTTACTTGCTTTCCCTGCGCGTCGTTCCTCTTTAGGATCGTTGGGCGCAGGCTGGTAACGCCCCTTATTCGTACGTTCCATCCAGGGGTGTAGTTGGCGTGCTCCGTTTCCTGCTGCCGTACCGTCATCGAAGGCTCGCTTAGTCGACTCGCTGGTGTCGTCCATATCTGAAGGTTCGTCGGGGCTTGCATCGTTCGATTCCTTGTCTCCACCGGCATCAGAGGGCTTCACGTCGGCACTGCTGGGAGGTGCGACTTCCGGTTGACCTCCGTTCTCTCTGGCTGCCTCCAAGGAGCTGTTTCCTTCACTTTTGCGTTCTTTGGCAGGGGTTGAAGCTTCTGGCGTCAAGCCCTGGATAGTACGCTCCGCTTCCTCGGCATCCATGGCGTGGTCATTGGTTTCGGCCGTCCCGGCCCCGCTGGCCACCCTGACGTACGACCTGACACACTCGGTGCCATCATGCCCGAAGTGAAAACAATCCGAGCACTTCGGCGCCCTGCATTCTCGTCGAATATGACCTGTGCGCTTACAGCGTAAGCACAAGGGCGCCCGTCCAGGGATCACAACAAGTACGTTACCACCTTGGATCCGAAGCTGGTGTGGCCTTGTATCGGCCGTGCCACCTTCGTTCAGTGTCATCCGCGCACACCTGGGGGGCTATGTTGCACGTTTTGGACTCCCAGGAGACTGGGGAGAATGAAGTGACGTAGGTGTGAATGAATGTATCTTAGCAGCACCACGCAACGCGTCATCAGTGACTCCACCAATCAACATCCAAAGAGCGTTGTTGACGTCACTTCCTGCTCCCCAGTCTCCTGGGAGTCCAAAACGTGCAACATAGCCCGCCTGGTCGTTGATTCGATCCCTTGGAAGCCTTCAACATTCCACTTCTCCCGGCTCACTTCCAGGACCTTGCCATACGGCTCCAATCTCTGACGCACAACGTCGTCCGGCACATCATACGGGATCCAGTGGAGACGAAGCCGTACCTCCGTGATGCTGGGATCCACGACGAGGCACCGAAGGCCCTTCATCTGCAGTTCTGTGGCTTCCACGAGTCGTCTCTTTGTTTCTGCCGTTCGGAGGGTAGCCATCTGTCATGCATGCGGCATGCATGAGGCAGCGGATTCAGCGCGCACCGTCGCCGACGGGTTATCGGGCTTTGTGATTGTTATATTTTTGTTACCCGTGGTGTGCGCTGATTGGTGCGACGAGAAAAAGACGAAGTGACGACGGAAGGACCGAGGATGGAGACGGTGCGCGAGGAGAAAAGGAACGCGGTGGGCTGGAGCTGGTGCAAGCACGACTTCGAACCGGAATAAAACGCTTTCCCCCCAAAAGGCTGGCTCCCTGCCTTCCCGGGTCCCACGGCGCCCAAACCACAAGCCGTGACTGGCGCAGTCGACAGGATAGTTCAGCTACGGAACCTTGGGATGAGCGGCCAGCTCCAACGCTGGCCGCTCATCCCAAGGCCAGCTCCAAACATGATTCATTTGGTACGCACCAAGTGCTGCGATGTCGCCGAGTACGCCGCACCTGGCCATCTCTCGTTGAAAATCCTGGATACGGTAGGGGCGTACTTTCAAATCGCAATGCAGGAGCACCGATGTTTTACACGTAATTCCTGTAGGCATCTGTGGTAAAACAATTTTATAGTCATCGTTCGTTGAGTCACCGGAGTGATTATACTCTGTTTCATAGTTAGCATACAACGCTGTCAAAGCTACTATTGCGAACGCGTGGCTTCATCTATGGTTTTGTTTGCGCGAGAACGCGTGCAAATGATCAACGAGATCAAGCCCCACGCTCGCGCCAGTAGCTTTGACAGCGTTGCAACACTAAGTATGAAACAGAATATAGAACCGCGGCCAGCAAGGGCCGTTGTAGACGCTTCCACGGAGCTCATGTTTCGAACGTCTTGCACGTTCTGCCCGTGCGCTCGATCTCGACCACCGATCTTCCTTTTTTTTTTTTTATACCGTATTTACTCGAGTAATTGCGGCACTATATTGAACAAGGCCCTTGCTTCTGCTTTCCCGCAGAACATATATACAGTCAATCATCGCGTTGCGCATAAATAACATAGCGAATAACCAGATCGAGAACACAATTGTCCATACAAATCCAATGTTCAAAGGTGATATATTCGCATGAAGGCGTTATCTTTGTCCTGTAAACAGCTGGAGTCATGGTGTCGATCGCTGTGATTGGCAATCCGCGTGCTCGGCGGAAAAGCGAACCTTTAGGTTTTCTTCATAAACAGTACGGCTATTACTCGAATAAATACGGTACATATAATTTTTATTTCAATATTAGAACGCTGCCGAGTTGACCGCGACTGGAGGCAAACACGTTTTCACAATGCGTCCCCATCTTGGGCATCGAATTTTTAACAGCAACAACAACGCATTGTTAACCGGAATGCGTTGTTGCTAACCACGCATTCGTAACAACAACGCCAACAATACAATCGACACTGTGTTGCACTCGCGTGACGCACTTTGGCTGTCGGAAAATGTTCTTTTTCCTGGATTATCTCTTACACGCCGGAGACGTAACAAAGAACTAACCTTTTTATTTTTATTTTATTTTATTTTTTTTTTTGGGGGGGGGGGGGGGGGGGAGCTAGAGTTCACGCCTCTCTCTAAAAAAAAAAGCTGAAAAAAAAGCACATTTTTTTAACAGGCAAAATGTGGCACTATTACCGCAACGCCCTGCTCGCCATTTCAACTGGCCTCTTGACGCGACAAGCGAACGCCACCTTAAGGCGAGTTTGCGCCACAACACGGCGGCACTAGTAGTATCGTTTGACCTGATATTCTGCAGCCGCAGGCTTTATTTCCATGTATTAAAGAGAAAAGACTCGTGACCGAGTGGATTACTGCTTCAGAAGCACAGGGGCCTGGGTTCTACCCCCACAACTTCGCAGCTGGTACAATTAAGCATTTTGTTTTTCAGATTTGTGCTCGCCGGTGCATGCGCCGTGGTACCGTAGATGAACACACGGCTACGCTTGCACGGTCATTGACATTGACACACAGCGACGGACACGTGGCGATATACATACTCTGTAAATGTACCCCCTAAAATAAACTACTGATAATTGCCGGTGTAAAAAAAAAAGATTGCGCGGAAAAGCACCCCCCCCCCCCCCCCCCCGAAAAACTTCTCAGCCTGCTCCCCCCCCCCCCCCCCCCCCCCCCCTGGAGACACCGCAATATCCGTTGTTCGAATGCTGCCTACCCAATTTCTCCTTGAACTCAATGCCCTGGGGCATTCTAAGTACAGATCTCGCGGTGACTCGCGTTCGAATGTGTATGCAGATTGTCGTTTGTATAGGATGTATAAGCATTGAGACTCCGGCTTAAAGGAATGGTGAACCGTAATTTGTATTAAAAAAAAATGCTGGAGATGTAGGCGGGACGCTACAATCCCTACAACACTACTCGTAAGGCGATATCTCGAATGGACGGCCGTATTTTTGGAAAACGAAGTCGAGATTGAACCAGGCCGACGAGGCGCGTGACGTCAAGATACCTAGTTTCCTCCACTGTTCGCTTCGCTCCCTCAAGGCCGCGAGGCGGAGAAGACACGAGACCGTTCCCTCTCCTTCTCGGACAAGCACGACGTCGGCGTTCCTGCCAAATGCGCCTCTTTTTTTTTCTTAAAAAAAAAAAAAAAAAAAAAAAAATACGGTCATCCGTTCGAGATATCGCTGTATGAGTGATGTTTTGGTGTTTGCAGCATCCCGTTGCACGCTTTTGCCGCGTGTTTTGGGGAATCCAGAATCCAAGACAAAGTGCGAGGAGGCTTGAAATTTAAGCGATATGAACCGCGTCCGCGTATTTTACGAGCGGCCTGTAACGTTCCTGGCGGTAACGATAGTTAGAAATCAAAATTAATAAAAATGAATAATCGACGATTACTCTTAATGAGGGGATTTATGCAGGGACATGAGTGATGGAATTACAGTAATTTAATTACTTTTTGAAGGAATTAGTAATATAATTCATTACTTATTGGCGCAGGCAATTTAGTAATGTAATGGATTAGGTTATGCCGGTAAAGATAATGAAAATAGTGAAATAGTTTTGTTTTGTTTTAGGCGTATTTTTGTGGACATAAATTAACCACCGGCAATATTTGTGCTCAAATAATCATCTTGAACAGCAGTTGAAAAAAGAAAATATTAAACAACAAAACTAACAGTATGTGACTCATGGACACGTGTTGAAGTAGAAAAGGCATTTCGGTCGTTGGAACCCTGTGACAAAAAGAGCAGGAGTGCTAAAAAATACAATGCTGTATGTAAAAAGAAATAATAATAATAAAAAAAGCTTGAAATGGAACCAGGCCTCTAGAAGGCTTCGTTTTCGAAATAGCTATGACGCACTTCTCGTGAGGTTGATGACCGAAATATGACAAGCAAAGAGCGCGTTCTTTTCAGAGAACAAGATTCTCAGGATTGAGACAACAAACAAATAAAAGGTGAGGTAAGGCAACCAGAAACCATACGTTTCGCCTTCTATTGTGACAATAAGAAGGTCGCTTTTACTTCGTAACAACCGACTGGGCAGTCGAGGATCCTTTTTTTTTCTTTTTTTTTAGGAGGCATCCTGGGGAACGCGAAACGAAGTGCTCAGGGAAGCGTGTTTTTTGCCACCTAAACCAACGGACACGTTCAAGCGAATCATCCGAATATATACTACCGGGCCTGTCTCCTCCAAAACTCGCCTCTGTATCCTCACGGCAAGCCTAGCCATGCTTCAAGGTTGGTGTGGCAGACTATAAACAATAATGCAATAAAAATGTTTATAAAATAAATAAAAATATATGTAGCAAGAATGTAATAATTGATTTTTGTATAAGAAATTAAAAAGAAATTAGAAAGTGATTATTACTTTTGGCAATAATTTGTAATTGTATTAAGCATTTCTTGTTGTGGTAATTTTTAAAGTAAACAAGTTATATTTCAGTTGTCTCAGGCAAAGTAATTAGCAGTGTAATTTAATTAGAAAGAAAAAGTAATTTGGCCCCCTCTGGCCGAGTGGTACGTTGCTCAAAGATTTTTCCGGCTCTGAAATCTCTAAGTTACATTCCCATTGAAACCAGGATTTTTTAATATGCATTTTTCTTTTTAGTTTAGGTACTACCAGGCAGGGTTGGGCAGAGATACTCTAAAATGTATTTGGGAATACATATACTGGGGTACTTACCGAAGACAGCTAAAATAGTGATACTGAAATACAGCCGTACTAAAGTATCGCGATACATATCAGAATTAAACTTGAAAAATAGAAAAGTATTTGGATTTACAAAAAAAAATAAAAATACAGGAATTCTAATTTTGCAGGGGCAGTAATACTCGCACACACTCTTGTCTAAAAACAGCTTTGTACGATGGGAACTCTCGTATTAACGGCAAAAAAAAATGTATTTAAAAAAAAAAAATGAAACGACCTTTTGACACATATTTTCTTTTTTTAATATGGAAGCCATACCAAACAAGAGTTAATACACAAATTTGCTGCTACGCTCGACTACATTTGATGAGAAGTTTTTTTAAAGAGCTCGTCGGTCAGTTGCTGCCGATTTGGGCTCAGAGTTATGTTAAGCGTTCCATAAGTAGGATTCGGTGTTTTCAGAGTTCATTTTTCTTCAAATTTGGAAGGTGTTTTTCGAAATTTATTTTTCATTTGATTCCAAAATCTCCGAAATTCGGAGCTTAATTGCGCAGTGTTTCCTATGAAAAAGAAATAAATAATATCCGGGTGTAAACGTATGCTAGATAAAGAAAAATAAAACGCGCTTGTATCAATTAATATTTCTTTAACTGGATTTTGTGTTGGTGTTATTGCCATTGGCAATACTAATTTGTCCTACGGCAATAGTTGCACACATGTGTTACTTCGATAAACGTCAATACCATAAAAATAAACTCCCGGAGGTAGTTCTTGGGAAGTACGTATTCATCCCATCCTATTCCATGCTACCCAGCGGCTGCGTGAGATGGAGTGGTAAAGGATGTAATAGGGAAGTTTCAACTGCTCCTCTTCTCAATTTTATGCAATCTCTATGCTCCATGGCTCTTACTGTTACAAAACCAGAATCTCTACCTCCCTTTAAAGCACAAACAGTATGGCCAAAAGTAGAAACCAATACAGAGGCCTTTGTCGTCACTTGAAAGTACAATGACATGTTGTCCTGTACCTTGACGAGATAAGTGGTAAGATCCTTTTTGTTAATGATCCGAATCCGAGATTTCAAAGATAACTCTGGTGTCATATTTCCGCGACTATTTACCCTGTGCACTGATTAAACTTAATTGTAAATTACCGTC